AATAGAAAGCAATCGCTGGCGTACGATCCCAAACCAACATACTCCGCAAAAGGAAATAAGCGATAAATCGGCAAATCTGGCCATTACAAATTCTTACGATGCGCTTCAGTCTGAAGTTATTCTCAATGACAATTCTATGGTCACTAATTCAGATCAAATTAACAGTACAGAAACTCATTCTAACATAGACGAAGATCAATAAAATGCTAATAATTTTGAACATCCAAAAAACTGTGAGAACAAAATTCCACCTTTTGTTATTACTGACACTAATGTAAGTTGGAAGAATTTAAATAAAGTACTCACAGAGAAATTAAACATCAATAAAGTTGACGGCAAACTTAAAGGAGGAAACCTAATTATAAAGGTATTCGATTTAGAAGAATATTGTAAAATCCAAGAATATTTCAAAGAAAAGCATATTACTTACCATTCCTTTGTATTGCATACCGATAAACAGTACGAGCAATCATAAAAGATTTACCGAATGACATCACGGAACAAGAAATAGAAGAGGACCTCAAAGCACAAGGAATCCCCATATTAAAAGTTAAACACCTTACTAAAATAACTGATGGAATTTCAAACTTTATACCTGTTTTTTATGTTGAAGCTCCTAGAACAGAGGAGGGAAAGAAACTCATGCATGTCGAAAAAATAATAGGACTATGGGTCCGTATTATCAAATATAAATCCAAACCTGGGCCCACCCAGTGCTACAATTGCCAATGCTACAATCATACACAGCGAGCCTGTCATAACACACCTCACTGAGTAAGATGTGTTGAAAATCATCGCTCACACCTATGTCCTTTTAAGGGCACACAAAATTATAATGCGAAGGGCGTCCTATGTTTAGGACCGCACCCAGCTTCATCTATCTCATGCTCTTGCAGACCAGGAAATAATAGCAATAATGAAAATCATAATGAAGAAATAAAACAGATAAAATACTCTGACATGGAAAAAATTCAAAGTAATACTAGCCTAGAAAATCTACAAAAAAGTCAAGCAAGATCACATGATGTTATCAACCAATCAGAAAATGGCAATTCATATGCAGCTGCTCTTCAAAATAAAATAAATCGTCACAGAAATAATCATTCTAACGATAAAAAAAAAAAAAAAAAAAAAAAAAAAAAAAAATAGTAGACATGAACGCACAGGAGAAAATCTAGATAAATTAATTGCCCTCATGGCCTCAATTTATGATCTATATGATGATTTCTGTCAAGCCAAAACAGTCACTGATAAAATGACAGTTGCCTTTGAAGTTCTAAGGATATACAAAAATCTTAATAATATTAATACTACAAATTACTGTAATTACCCAAATTCCAATAAATTATACCATACAAAAATAGTTTTCTACAATTGTGATGGATTGCTTAGGCAGCAATTGCAAATCACCAGATTTTTGTTTGAAAATAATCTTGATATAATGTTGCTAAATAAAACGCACCTGAAACCCAACAAAAAATTCAAAGTTGCTAACTATGGAATCTACAGGAATGATAGACTGCACAATAGTGGAGGAGGTACTGCCATCATCATTAAAAACTCCATTAAACATACGGAATACCAACTGGCTAATTTTACATCAATAGAAGCCTGTGCTTGCTTTGTTTACAGTAATAATCACACTCCTTATCTAATTGTTTCGGTCTACAAACCACCTAAAAAATTATTAATACTGCAGAAATTGATTATATTTGTAATTTGGGCTACCCCACCATCATTGCAGGTGACTTAAATTGCAAACACCCTGCATGGCATTCCAGATTTACCAATAGCAATGAAGTCAGATTATACAATTATATGCAAAATTCAACTATCAATATTCATGCTACTACTGAACCTACTCACATCTCGACCAACAATAATCATATCTCTGATGTAATCGATATTCTCATAACCTGCAATATTCCTCAAATTCCAGATTTTATAAATATCACAGATCTGGACTCTGATCACAATCCAATTATGTTTATCCTTAATAATATCATTCATTATATGCCTCCACAGCCTACTAGTCAACTGGACTGACTTCAAGTATATTCTAGATAATAATATTTCTGCAACTTCAAAAATGAATACTCCTGAATTAATAGAAAAGCTACTACTCATCTCAACAATAAAATTTTAGAAGCCATCAATAAAGCTACCAGAAATTTCTCCCCAAAAGATCACTCGCTCCCAAATAACATAGTAGAAGAAATTAGAATCAAAAATAGATTAAGAAAGATATGGCAAAGAACCCAAGATCAGAGAGATCACAATAACTATAAAAGATCCTACTATAAGGTTAAAAAACTTTGTTTTGAATTCAAAAATGACAGCTGGAATAATTACGTAGAAAGCCTCTCACACACTGATCACTCTATTTGGAAATTAGCCAGAAAATTAAGAAACAACACTAAAAAAATTGGTCCAATTGAAAATAATAATAATATAATTTATCATCCAGCAGATATTGCTAATGAATTTGTAGATGTCTACGAAGAGCAATTTACTATTAATAATTTTACGCACCCTGAAGATAGCAGCATTAAAGAACATGTGCAAAATTATATCATTTCCAATAGGAGCACAGCGAATCCTCCCACTACACCTTCAGAAGTCCTCCATATTATAAAGCAACTTAATCCTAAAAAAGGCAGTGGCTACGACAAATTTCAAATACAGCAATCCAAAATTTTCCTAAAAAAGCCATAATCTTCTTAGTTAACCTTTTCAATGCCTGTCTAAGAAAAAATTATATAGCAAATGTCTGGAAACTTGCCACCATCATCATCATCAAGAAACCTGGAAAAGATAAAAAAATAACTTCAAGCTATAGGCCTATCTCGCTTCTACCTGCAATATCTAAATTATTTGAAAAAAATCATCCAAAAAAGACTTCAACATTATGCTTCGCTAAGACCACAACATCATTTCTCCATTTCAATTTGGGTTTAGAAAAAACTACTCAACAATACATCAAGTCTCCCGCATTGTTGAAAAGATCAGTGAAGCCTTTAATAAAAAGGAAACAGTAGCTGCTCTTTTCCTCAATGTGGAAAAAGCTTTCGATAAAGTCTGGCACACAGGCCTCATTTTTAAACTTATAACCTACAATTTTCCTGCCGACTTAATCAACATCATATACAGCTATCTTCAGAACAGATATTTTCAAGTGAGAATTAATAATGACCACTCCACCACACGAAAAATTAATGCTGGCATCCCTCAAGGAGGAAATTTGGCCCCGTATTTATATATAATTTACATGAATGATTTCCCCAACTACCCAGGCACCGAGCTAGCCCAATATGCTGATGATACAGCAATTTTTTCAATTTCAATCAATCCTGCACATGCTCAGCACAAGCTCCAAAGTGCTGTTGATAACATCCAAGACTGGCTCCAAAAATGGAAAATCAAAATCAATCCTCAGAAAAGCAATAATATTATATTCAGACGCACCATAAGAAGACCGGTCTGTGATCAACTGTATATCAATAATCAACCTGTTAATAGAGACAACACTGTAAAATATCTTGGAATTCACCTTGACTACAAACTAAATTTTAAAGATCATCTCCAAGCTATTAAAACCGAAACCATGCAAGCATTCATGAGTGTTTACTCAATTATCAATAGCAATTCTAAACATAGCATTAATACCAAAAGACTGGTTATGCTTTACGGTTCGCCTGTTTGGGCGGCAGCTGCCCGAACAAATAGAAAACCATTGCAGACCATACAAAATAAAATTATCAGAACCATGCTGGGTGCCCCTTGGTTTGTTAGAAACGAAGTCCTGCACAGAGACATAAAAATCAATACTATCGACGAAGAAATTCTAAAGACAGTTTAAAAATTCTACAGCAAAATTCAAAACCAGCCCTCAAATCTTATTCAAAATATAGGCAACTATGACTTCATCATTGAACAATCATATAAAAGACCAAGGACACTTCATCATAATGTTCGATGGTGACATCTGTATATATTCATCTCATTTATTGTTTTTTATTCTGTATTTAACCAAGATCAGGATATACTTCAAATCCTATGAACTTTGAACTTTTTGCTGAAGTATATGCCTTATTTAACCACGAATTTACATTATTTTACTGCAATCGTATTGGTCGTTCAGCGACACACCTATATATTCAAGTTTTTTATTTTTTCTTATTTATAATATATCAGCATCATCATTATGAAAATTTTCTATGTTCACTGAGAATGTTAGTAAGCAATTCTATGCTTTAGATATGTATATAGTCTTTTATTTAATTTAAAATATTGCAAATTATGTTAACTTAAGCTTTTCTCGCTCTAACCAATTAACATCACGGTAAGAGATCACGTGTTTCAGTTCCTCTGCCTCCTGTAACATCTTGAATTAACTGCAACTCAAGACTTGAATTTTAATAACATGCATCTTTTCAAGATTTAAATTCCCATATTACTAAAGCCTTAATTGGATTATTCAAATAAGAACAAGTCATGTACTTTTGGTAGTATGACACTTGTAGCCTAATGCTAAGACCTGACCTGACTTGACCCAATAGGTTTTGAAAATGGCAAAATATATATTTTAATATTTCTATTGAGGAACTGAAAAATAAACATTGCAAAATGTAGTGGTTTTTCAGTTTTGGTTTAGATGGTACGTGTTAGTCAAAAGGTTGAGAACCACTCCTTTATTCTATTACCTTATAAATTGCTTAGCCTGTTAATCAAAATTTAATTAAGTCCGCACAAACAACGAAATCAGCTCCCCTTTTAAAATTCAGGCTTTGAGGTGTGAAGTTTGAATGAAGGATTATGTGCATTCAGAATTTGGCGGTTTTAGGTTCTTCCATTTCTGCACAATGCGAGATATGTACATACATATATATTCTTCATTATTTAATAATAGAAATACATTTTTGTGGAGACTTTTTAATTAAATATCAGTATGATGTTTTTAATAAATTGCATGCAGACTAAGTTATAATACAAACAATTACCAAGATCAATAGGCCCATCTTTTAATCCATCTAGCTCATATAAACGATTGTCTATAGGTACATAGCCAATGAAGTGAAATACATCATCATCTTTGTTTGGCTGCCGAGAATCAAATTCAAACATCTGCTGCCTAAAATTATAAAAGAGACAATATACATGATTTATATGATGTAATAACAATTTCATTTGAAGAGAAAGAGGGTTAAATTCTAAATATCAGCACCGTTAATAGCTTACCTTGCAAAACTATTGTGAACTTCTCGTATCACCTCTGAGTTGCTCAATGTTAAGCCTTTCATCTGAAAATCAAAAGTATAATTCACCAAATATTCCATAATTAAAAACAAATAGGAGAAATAGTTAGAAAAGTAGCAAAATATATTTTTCTAAAAAATTGCTACACCTTAGAATGACATTACTAATGAAGTCCATTTTGCAAAGAAACAACAAGTGAATGGGCATAACCAGACCTGAATCAGGAGGGGTGCTCATATATTAAAATGGAATTTCTCCAAAACAGGCTAATATTAAAAAACAAATTTTTATTTTAAAATTAAAATGAATTTACCAAATAAAACTGAGTTGAATTAATTAAAATATTTTTAAACTTCATGCTTTATTAACTTGTGTTATACAAAAATACTCTTTTTATATAAGTATTCAATTATATATACATCCTTTGAACTAATACTCTGAATTTTATATTCACGAGGCAGGTTTATAAACACTGCACATCACATTGTATGATTTGAGGCAGGTTTATAAGCACTGCACATCACACTGTATGATTTTACACCATATAATGTTTTTTCACTAAATACACAAAGAATATATAGAAATTGCATGCTTACTTTTTTTTTTTTTTTTTTTTATAAAAAAGTAAATTATTTCAGTGCATACAAAACCTCATATTTCGCTTTAGAAACTTAGTCACAAAATTACTATTATACACCATAAAGTTGAATTTTGATTATTATTATCTTTTTTTTTTTTTTTTTTTTTTTTTTTTTTTGAGATGAAGGTTTGGTTTACTTGATTATGGCAAAGCACTCAATGGCTATCTGCCTAAAGGGATGGATGCCTTCATAGAGGATTTTTGTAGGGAAACTGGCACAGAAGGAAAAACACGAAAATACTCATGAAAGAGCCCATTTGTAGGATTCGAACCTCGGATTTAATTAAGTGTTCAGCGGCTTTACTACTCACCTGCTGGTGGTCTTCAAATGAAGGAATGCTGATTAAATTTACATTATCAATTACATATCTAGTTTATTTTATGTTTTACTTTTATCATTGAGCAAACTGAGTAAATAATTTTATAATGTGTGATACAACTGTGAGAAGTAAAAATTTGTTATAACTTCTACTATGTTTTAGTAATTCAAAATAAGGATCCTTTTCTTCTTGATATAAAGATATAAAAGTTTTCTGGAAGCATTAAAAATTAAGTAAAATTTCAAGTACACTATAAGAAATTATGATAATTGTTTAATTTTTTTTTTTTATGTTTAAAAAATAAAAATTACTCCATTTTCACTATGTCATGCAACATTAGAAACTTTAGTCTCTGACATATCTAAATTATTCAAATTCATTAAAAAGAGAGACAGCAAGTAAATTTTGGTTTATTGATTTAATCAATAAATTTTTACACCTCTTTTCCCATTCATTTCATTGCACCTTTCGGTATGCCATCAACCAATAGACAGCCAATTAAAAATTCAGAACTATCTTTCAAATTTGCATGATCAGATTCATTATTATTTAATATTAAGGAATTTTTTACGTTTTGCAAAATATTTATTTCTTTTGCTGTGTTTTATGATATGTATAAAAAAACACTTTCAGTGTCCAAATAAAAGGGTGAAATAGTTTTTATTAGATTAGCTAGTTTAAGTATTTCAACGAATTACTCAATAATTATATAACAGGAAAGTGAGACCCTAAATGTGATGGATATAGTTTATAATCAAGAATTTTATGCATATAGTAAATGAAACAGTTAAGAAGTATGACAAAATGCATCTGATTTTTTACTGCTATATTTAGTTGTTTCAAAACTTATTTACAAACAATCTGTTATAAGCAGAGTGTTGAAAGAACAGAGATAATGAATTTAACTCTTCGACTACTAACAGCACATATATGCCCCATTAAAAGTTTAAAAATTACTGCTGGGTTAAAAAATACTTAAAATATCCATGAATGCTGGGGATCATCTTCCAACGGTTGGAAAATCAAGATACTGCACTACTCGTTGTACACAAATCAACAAGAAAAACAAATCTGAAGAAAAATATAAATTGCCCAATGTGAAACATTTGGTTCTGCAAAGAATGTTTTTTACCCTGTACCATATGATGCAGATCTATTTCATATAATAAAGTTTCCCAGAATAATAGGTGTGCTTAAGGTAAATAGACCACCACATGTGGGACATATGTATCTCACCATTAACTATGGCTAGGACATTAATGTCCCAGCCTTTGGCTTGAAAACCATTTGTCAAAAAAATCCCAAATGCTAAATTTACCTTATATATGACATTTTGTTTACTTGGATAGAAAACAGGGTAATTTTTTTAAAACTTGTAGTTAAAGGGTTAAGAGAAATACATTAAACACTGCTGCTGCTTAAGATAACATTATTTCATTTGCTTCTTATTTTAACTCTTTGTAATGTAAACATGAAATTTATTCGAGAGTAAACTGATAAAAAAAGATTCGAAGACAACATTTTAAAAAGCTCTTTTCAAATTCAATGGAAAAACTGCATGTGAAAGAAATGATAAGCATACACATTGCTTTTAAATAAACAAAATATTGTATGAAAAAGAGGGTACCATCTATTATAAAACTAGTTAACTAAGGAAATTTGGAAGATCGCCAGTTGGGACAATACCAATTATTCAGCTTAAATTTAATAAAAAATTCTTTTTTACGACAATGATAATATTTCTACACAGTATGGTATGAGTCAGTACGAACTATAACAAAATTGGTGAACTTTTGGCAATGAAAAATTTATAAACAAATCATCAAAAGTACAAGAAAGTAACAAAATTACCGTCTACTAGGAAATGTCCTAGGTTATCGGCTTCCATTTCTATAGTACAAGACCTTAAACTACAGCCATTGAATTTTGAAACTTTTTTGTGGTTTTCTGAAAACTTGAAAAATTGGAGCTAATTCCATTTTGGAGCAGACACTTCAACTAGAAAAATTTCTGCATAACATGGCATCCCTGTAACACTATTTTTCTTGTACGTATTTCGAAACAAGGTTCTCAGATTTGAAATTAAACACTTAAATATCAAGTCTTCTACTAAAATCAGTTACTTTAAAATAAGCACTTCAAGATTGTAATGACCCTCCCTTCATTTACAATCGTAACACGTCATCATCCCAACACAGAGAGGATTAGAAGATTTTAATAAATCAAAGGACTTTACTATCTCCCATAGCATTCATTAACCATGGTTATAAATAAAATAGACGGAAGAAAATGGCACTAAAGCGCTGATTCTAAAGTAACAGACTATAATACATGTTCTCATTTATGATATTTATCATTCCTCCATAAGGGCAATTGTTTGTCAGCAAAGCCAAATATTAAATTAGAGTAGAATTTTGTAGTAGCACACAACTTAATTTTCATATTGTATTGTTGCATTACAATAGCAGCAGAATTTAATAGTTCTGGGCCACCTCCCAATTTTTCACTTAGCAACTATCATTAACCACTTGCGCTATGACTAAACTTCACACTTGCAGTGCAGTGCGCTACAATATAACAAGCGGTAAAGTGTCTCATTTACGCCACTCTGCATCTGTGAGTGAATCCAGAGCTGTAATTCGAGAAATAAAAAATCTTGTTGTTAGGCGACATGCGCACCACATTATTTTCATTCTTGTGATAAATGCCTATCGACGTGGTGTTCATATGTCGCTCGCGGTTTGAGACAAAAGCATCTCGACGTGCATGGAATGTCTTTTTAGCGCAAGTGGATAATAAGGCAGAAATGAGATTCACCATTAAACACTGTCCCAATTAAGTTTAATTTGGTAATAAATTTTTCTTCATATTTTTATATCTTACACATATGTAATGATTTATTTTTGTTGTAGATAACTTGATATTTGATTATAGCTTCATTAGAAATGCACCAATTCACTTTTTAATCATTTCCGCCCTAAAAAAAAAAAAAAAAAAAAAAAAAAAAAAAAAAAAACGCTGCTAAGTAGGTGACTGAAAATTGGGTTGTAGTGGATGACTGGATGGAATTTTAGAAGCATGACAAGTTTGGTAGTTAAACATAATTTAATTTTATGTGATGAATTTCTTGGCACATATTCTCTTAACTGGAAGAAAATTAGGGGTGCTATACACGTCCCAAAATTATAGATACATATTTATATTTCAAATAAAGGAGAATACCTAGCACAGGCTAAACAGCACTCTGCCAGCAGGAAGGCAAAGTGGTGAAAGAGAAGGCATAATCAGTTGCGCTACTGTTTATAAGCTTAGCAAGTCTTTGTTTTAAACCTGAGCAGCAAATGGACAAAAGTTTACAGCAATGCAGATACTGCGGGGAAATTAACATGCCTTGAAGGCATTGTGTCTTAATTCCAATTAATAATTTAATGGTCTATTGTCAATTTGTTCCAATTAAGTTTTAATTTGTTAATAAATTTCCATCATTTGTTGCATGTGTATGAGTTTATTATAGACTGAATGCACAAGTTCAATAAAAGGTTAATAAAATTTATTTTTATCAAAAGAAATATAACGTAATGCTGGAATTTTCCTCAGAGATATTTGCATAAGTGTTTACAATATCACAGAATATAATCAGTAGCTATACTTCCCTACTAAAAACATTAGAATACAATGCAATGCAAAGAGAAAGTTAATCAGATCTTGCGCTAAACTCGCAAAAAATAACAACAGCAGCTAATAAACAACTGAGCTCAGATGTCTTCCAGCTTTAAATACGAGGGCCATCCAGGAAGTAGATTACGTTTCCGTCTGTGTCCGCTAGGGGCGGGGCTAGCGCGGCCATCTTGGGGTCAGAGCGTTGCAGAGCTCAGTCTGCATCTAGCCGTGCTAGTGAGAGGTTCGTGCTGTGCTCCGTTCAGATACTGTGACGGTTTGAAATGTCTGCGTTAATTGAAAATCCCGCGAGCTGCGAGGTGCGCTCAGTAATAAGGTTTCTGACTGCAAAAAACTGTAAACCGATAGAAATCTATCGGCAGCTTCGTGAAGTGTATGGGACAACATTATCACTGAAGGTGGAGTGCGTCAGTGGGTCATAAGATTTCAAAATGGCCGAACCAATGTTCACGACGAAGATCGAAGTGGGAGCCCCAGCATAGTGACCGCCGAACTTCTCGAAAAAGTCGATGCTAAAGTCCGTGAAAATCGAAATTTCACAATAACGGAACTTTTCTTGAGTTTTCCACAAATTTCGCGAAGTTTGTTGCACGAAATCATCAGCGAAAAGCTTGGTTACCACAAGTTTTGTGCAAGATGGATTCCAAAAATCTTGACAGAGACCACAAAAATCAGCGAATGGCTGCAGCGTTGAACTTTTTGGACGCTTACCATAAGGATGGTGACTCTTTACTCGATCGCACTCGTTACTGGTGACGAAACAACATGGGTGAAACATGTGAACTGTGAAACGAATTGCATCAATGCAGTGGGGGCACACAAGTTTCTCCCCAAAACGAAGTGGTTGAAGGCGCAGGCGGCCGAATTTTTCGACGAAGGAATTTCCAAGCTCGTACATCGCTACGATAAATGCCTTAATTTGTATGGTGACTATGTAGAAAAGTAGTATTTGAGTGTGGCTTTCATCTGTATATAATAAAATTTGTTTCCTATACTTTGTTTATTTTTTTATTCCAAAACGTAATCTACTTTCTGGATAGCCCTCGTAGTTTGTAACCGGCCATGCAAGATAGGTCTAGCATTTTCTACTTTTCAAGATTTCTGAAAAGCAATAAGAGGATGTAATTATGGTTACAACTAACACGGTAGTCAATTATGTTTATTCACTTTCAATACAAATTACCAAGATATCAATTTATTCAATGTTAAATGCACTTGCTCCTATATTTTTATTTTTCCGGCATAGCTTTCTCTTAATATTTGTCTCATGCTGCACTGCATGGGGAAATACAACAATTTTAATTACAATTCTATTAAAATATCTAATTAAATACAAAATTAGTAACAATATTTTTATATTTTACATATCCCCCCCCCCAATTTTCAATCAGAAAACAAATGGATGGCTTTAAGATATAATTTAGAAATACTAATAGAATATCATTCTGTAAATAAAATTTATAGTCCAGTCTTAAAATCTGGAGAAGGCGTAGTTATAACTGTCCATCCCTTCATAGGAGGCAACAGCGGCCACCTATTAGGTGCTTCCATAACGAAATGGTCACCACTTCCAGCTCTTGTAAAGGTGGAAGGCTGATGGCTATTAAATCAAGCTCACAGCCATTACGGAAGAAAATTCATTTAACTTTTTTGCTTCAAGTATAAAGATGTCTAAGCATGGTTCTAATTGGAATACCAGTCTCTGGACTAGCAAAATAACAACCCTATGCCATTCATTATATGAATGAAATTTAGTCTCAATCTGTATTTTTCATATTGGTGGGCTGGCATCAAAGGCAATCACCCCAAAATATAATTTTACTGGAAGCTACTTTCAGCCAATTCTTGTGAAATTAATGCTGTTGGAGCATTCCAAGTTCCCTACATACTCTACAGAATGTCAACAGTTGCCCGGCTGCTACTACATGCCTTCAGATGCATCAATCTAAATGTTCTGATGCTCATCAAGATGTCCTATACCCCTGATGATTCACATGCTTTTCAATACATCATCTCTAAATCCTCTGCCAACTGAAGAATGGTGATGTGATTTAGATGTAACACAACTAGGGAAGACTGACTACATATACTACGGTTAAAAAAAGATCTTTGTTATCAACTTCCTTTAACGAGTGGTGATTGTGGGACATGCTTCAACTACCCATTTACTTTTTTTCTCATCATTGTGATGTCCCAAGATCAATAGATAATTGATGTCCCACTTTATTATTATAAAACATAACATTTCAAAGAAAGAAATTTTTATAATGCTGTTTAGGTATGAAAATAAATACTCTTTGCCAAAAATCATTTTTGCATTAAAAATGACAATAAAAAGGAATTGCATAATTCTTACTGTAGCATCAAATGTTTGACAAAATTCTTTAAACGACGTGAGGGTTTCACCTAATTTCACATCTGGATGTTTACAGTTTAATAGTACACTCAAGATTGCTTGAGTTGCACATGCATTGTTGATGACCTGAAATTAAATGAATATAAAAATAACAAATCATCTTTGTAAGCATTACTTTAACGAAGAAATTAAAACATACTCAATAACTACTAATTACAAAAGAAAAACATTTTAAAATATTTATAGATATATTTGTTATGAAAATTAGAATCTCCAAATTATAAAATTCTTTAAAAAACAATTATTTATTTTGGGGGTAAAAATTATATCAAGTCCACAATCAAGTTAAGAATTAGGTGATGTTATCTACAAAAGTCTGAACTGTAGACAATAAAGAACAATTTAAATTACGATTTGCTGGCAGCTACATTGTGTTTTAACTTGACTTGGGGCCCAGCTCAGGTTACGCTTCACAAAAGTATTAATTGAGTCAAGCTTTGCTCTAATATTACTAATTGCTGAATCCACTATTTACTACTACTTTCTTTCTTTACCTTACTGTTAATATCTACTAGCTGTTAAATTATTATGTTTAAATTTAGTAAAGCTGTGATTTTTAAAGTATATGAAGGTACCTTTAAGTGAATTCCCAGCTATTTTTATAAATAAATGGCTGATATATTTGATTTTAGAATGCAACTAAATAATATTTTGCAATTTCGTACATTTCAGTGGTGCAAATATTCGAAGTTCAAACTTCTAATTTATTGGAATATACCTTTTTTCATATATTCATATTTCATATATATTTCATAATTCTGCACCCGAAGAATATCACTAGCCCAATTATAGAAAATTTACATGACTACACACTTTAGCCTAAAAAGAAGACAACTTCAATGGGCTTTTTGTTTCATTTATTTGGTAGTTACAAATAATATTCTAAAATTTATTTCAAAAAATAATTCACAAACCTTGTTTACATGTGCGAAAATTTTGTGTAATAATTATATTTACTGATTCACAAGCACATTTGTTGTGATATAAGTTAGAAATCTGAATGCTGCATTAATAATTTGCATATCATTATCCATAGATTTACTTAATTATCAATATATTTAAAAGAGCAGCATTAGATATTTTATTACGTAGTAGCAATGGATATATTTATCTTAATTTCAAATAGATATTAAAAAAGGTTGATGGCATATTCTGTTACTAATTTTCTTTTCATACACATCTCTTAAAACTACTAGTCAAATTAGTTATTACTCATGAAATTATTTAGATTAACTTTCAATAATCTTTGTTACACTTCTAGAGCAAGCAGATGGTAGTTGAAAGGATATGCCAATTACTTAGCAAACCCTTCCATTTATTTCAAATCTACCTCTTGTTCTGTGCTCTCTTTCATTTGAATCACTATTCTTTTGTGCATCAATATTACTAATAATATATTTAGCCCATGCAGAATTTTATATTCCTATTTAAAATTTATTTTTAACCAAATTTTCACTGAAAGGATTGTACACTAAATTTTGCTACCTTTTTCTACTTTAAATATATTACCCCCAGAATTTTACGATTTTTTTTCATTTCCATTTTCATTCATTTAAACAACATTCTAAAAATTATTGCATTATAAAAACTCTTTTAAGAAAGAAAACTGATTTTATGCACTTTTGTATTAACGGTATACATTAAAGTACCTCAAAATTTTATTTTTTTGGATGAAAAATGTTCTTAAAAGAATTATTATTTTTTGGATCACTTTGTTATCACATTACACTGATTTCTGCATATCTAGAAATCTAAATACTACAATTAAATTTATTCATCGTATAATAATCTATTAAAAATATAATTCAAAATTAACTACATTTAATACATATTTTTTTGTCCTGTAAAGATGTTCAGATTAAAAAAAAAAAAAATTCACCTGTTTAGCAAAAAATATCTTATCAAGTCGACTGTCTTGCACAATGGTACCCGATGGCTCATCACCTTGAAACCATTTGAACAAAAAGATTAAGCCATGAACGGGCCTATAAAAGTATAAAAGGTTGTTTACATTCAAATAATACAAATGCAGTTTCTAACATAAAAGTACAGTGAAAAGCAACTGATGAATTTCTTTATTTTTTCCCATTTATATTTTAAATTAGTACATAAATTCACTGCTTCTAAAAATATAAAAAGTTATCAAAAATCTATATAATTAAACAATAAATATGTACACTCTTGTGCAGTTGCACGAGAAGGAATTGCAAAGGAAATAAGTTTTTAGGAAGACTGGAAATAAATATGTACCGTATATTCTGGTGTGTATGTGCACTGTCGTATAACATGTACCTATATTTTTTAACTACATTTTTAATTTGTATATTCACCATATAATGCAGACTTTTTTTTTACCAAATGCATCATAACAGTCTAGAAATAGCATGCAAGTGTAAAAAACAGCATAGAATGAAATTACTCCCGACATAATTAAAAAGTCATTTTAAAAATGTATTATATTTAACGGCGTAGATGGAACAGAAGATAATCATTTATTTATAGATCAGAATTACAGTGAGGTAAAGATGAAGCAGAATTCAATAATATAACACAAGACGAATATACAAACTTTTCCTGTTATCTGATAATGAAAATTTTTTTAATTCATAGGATGTTCTGGCCAAGTTCTAGTGGGAATAGGTTGAGCATCCATCCTACAGCCTGGACATATCGCCCTGAGAATTCCATGTGTCTGGTCTGCTAAAAAAAATCTCAAAGGGAAGTGCTTCAATTTGAACAATGAACTGAAGGTGACAGTGAAGAACTGGCTCCTGTTACAGCTGCAGGAATTATGGAAACAAGAAATACTTTAGCTTGTGAAACAGTGGGATAGTTTTGCTCAGACCTCTGGTGATTACTTGTGAATAAAGACTTCAATTATACCCACAGTGTCATTTCAAACATTTTCTTTTGAACATCCCTCATATTATTTCAACTATCAGAATAAGGTGAATAATTTCTTCTCTTGGCATGGTTAATTATCATTTTTTATATGTATAGGCTTTCATACATTTAAACAAATACAGCCAAAAGTCGTTAATTCGGACACCCATAATCCGGAATGATCTATAATCCGGACCTCAAAGCTACATACTTTTTGCGCATGCGTCGGACCTTTACGGCTGCGAATATGCGTGTGCACAAAATACGTTTACGAATGCGCATTTAATGTATAACAGACGGTATAAGCTAAGCTAAAATTATCTAATTCAGTTAATGTTGCAGATTGCGTTGTTCCTTAATCTTCAAATTGGATTCGGCTTATTATTTTTTGCAGACTGTTAGAGCAATTTTATAAAAGTAAGCTTAAACTTTCGATTACGTCAAATAGAATTTCTGATATATATTTACTAATATGTTAAACAAAAAGTGGAATTGCTGAAAAAAATGGATAAAGGCATATCCTTTGTTTATCTAAACTTTGTTTATCTTTAACGTGGCGGTGCGCAATGAATTGGAAGTTGATCTGTTAGCACTATCTTTATCTTCAGAGCAGATGTTTTTATTTTACTTGGCTTATAATTCCTTATTAAATGTAGTATTTCATCTTGATGTACTCCATCTTTGATATGATTTAAATCAAATTCCTCGTCATTATAATTCGCTTCAGATAGCGAAGAAAGTGACAGAAGTTATTGAAAACGAAAAAATTTCGATTGACAAATTAGTCGGTATTCTCGACACAGCAATTATAGGACTTGAACAGCGGAACATTGTAACTGAACAAGAAATTATGTCTGTCTATAGAATTAAAGAGAATGTATTATCGCATAAAAAATGAAGCAACTTAAACAACTTACATTGAAAGAAATGTTTAATAAAGTAAACAAATAAATATTAAGTTTTTTTTTTTTTTTTTTTTTGTAAATTTTGATACCCTTTAGATCATAATTGTTTTTTATTTCATAAATTACAGTTTCATATTTTTAATTTTATAATTTCTGCATGCCATCTTACCAGTCAATGCGACGCATGCGCAGAAAGTATGTAGCTTTGAGGTCCGGATTATGGGTGTCCGAATTAACGACTTTTGACTTAATTTTGTTGGGCTACCAACATTACCGGAACTTCTTTTTAGAACGCTATGAATACAAGCATTCCACAGGGAATTCTTCCAATCTATAACAGTTTCTTTAGCCATACTTAGCTGACCATACCATATACATACCATGCTATGGCAATCACATTTCTCCCCTCAAAAACTTACTGTAATGCATTACTATTCAGCATGTTACTCCTCTAAGTGTGATATGTGTTAATGATAGCAATTAAATATTATAAGAATACTTCTTTCTCTATGTTGAAAGTGTTTTATAATTTGTTCAGATAAAAAGTCAAGAATCAGTTTGAACACTATATTTTGATTATTAGGGAACATAATAATACAGGGTTCGGCAGGAAAACTACTTTATTTTAAAAATGAATAACACAAATAGTATAAGCGATATCAGTTTAATATTTTTTTAAGTTATAGAGATACACTTAAAGTTTTTTTATTATGGATTAAAAATAATATCATTACAGTGATCTCTGTTCTGGTTAATGCATCGATATAGTCGAATTTTGAAGTTTCTTTCCACTTTTACCAGCATATCAACAGGTATGTTGTGCATAGCAGCTAGAATATTGTTCTTCAGATGAGACGACAGAAATTTCAGATAGCCCTACAAAAAGAAAGCATATGGGGCTAAATCAGGCAAGCGCACTGGCCACTGAAGATCGCCCCGTAAGGAGATAAGGCGTCCATGAAAATGCTGTTCAAAAAACCATGGTCCAATGATGCTTATTCTGGACAATGCACACCAAACAGTCACATGTTCTGTATGGAGGGGCTGCTTATGAAGTTCTCAGGGATTCGTGCCACTCCAGTATCGCATATGTTTTGTTTATTCCCACAACCAGAAAGACGAAAATGAGCCTCATCGCTAAAGAACACAAGGGCATCATGTGGCATATTGTCAAAAACGGCTTCGCATGCATTTTCTCGTGAAAGAAAATCACGTGGATCAAGTTTTTGCACCACTGGCAATTTAGATGGACGAAAATGCAGTATGTTGAATAATATGACTCCACGGTGAACACGTGCTCCTGTCTTGTCTGCTGCATGATCGGTACTAAACCTACATTAACTTTAAAACTTTACACACCACTCTTTTCAACGAGCACCACCCCATCTTCTTGGAATAAATGTCGCTAGATGGCGCGCATTTCAAAAAAGAAAATTCCCCTGCCGCACCCTGTATAATATGACTTAATGCAGTTGTGTATCATGTAAATAATGTTCACAGTACAGTAGAATCCTGTAAACTCGAATTAATGTGGACAGAGAGACTGTGGAGTTTCCGAAAAGTTGAGGTTTAAGGAATAAGGACTTTTCAAAACCTGTAAATTACTCTTAACATTAACAGCACAATATTGGACATGGAAAAGTACAGCATCCAATTAAATGTGTGATTTTTTTATGTCAAGTTCTAGCATGATAGAAGTCATAAAAAGAACAAATACCCTAAGATAATTGAGTAAAAAACTTATTACAAAAATGAATGTAGAGTCATTAGGTATTTTTGGAAGCAGGAAAGATGAAAAATTCGCAACGCCTTTGCCAAGAATCGGACCACGGACCTCTGAAATGCCGGCTCAATGTGCCGACTAGTATATTACGAAGGCACGTTAGGAAGACGGTAGAAATACCTTATATACTCCCCCTTTTAAAGGGTGACTCGGGTTTTTAGGGGACCCAATTGCCAAATCCTGGGTGTGAAGAATCATCATCCACAACTCTTTTAATTCGGGTGCCACTGTAGAGACATTAGGTATTTTTTGGAAGCAGGAGAAATGAAAAATTAGTAAACGCCTTTGCCGGTAATCAAACCGGGGACCTCTAAAATACCGGCCCAGCGTGCAGCAGAACCACTACTCCACAAAGGCACACTAGGAAGGCGGGAGAAATACCTTACATGAAGGAACATTATTAGTAGTTCCTGGTAGAAAAATATTGTGTGATGGTAAATTGCCTCTCACACTCATTCTGTCGTCATGCAGTCATTCTGTTCCATAGGCGATGGAGAAACAAAATGTCCATACCAGATGCACCTTGCTCCTCAATGTAATGGAGCATTCCTTCAGTCCTTCACTACGGGTTATCATTTAAGCTTTTCCATTGTCTTCAGTCTCTTCGTTTTCTGATTCATCTTCATTTTTATCTACATTGTCTTCTAGTGCAACTATTTCTGCATGCCCTAAAATTTCACAATTTTCATCTTGTCCCAACATCACTAACTTCATCATTAATTTCATTTCTATTGTCATGTTAGCTTGTTTTTCTTTTTTTTTTTGGGGGGGGCGACGACACTTTCACTTCACAGAATATCAAAAGTTCCCAAAAATATGTAACACTTATATGCTTGGCTGTGAATTGAGGAACCATACCTGTAGTGAACTGGTGTGCATTTAGTTTGCAATAAAATGCAGTCACAAAAGTTCAGACAAGTCTCCTAACATTTCGCAACAACACAAAGGAATTTGACCCAGCCACTACCTAACTTTCTTCGTATCCTCAAAAGAAGCAAACAGCATTGTCAAGTACAGTCAAAAGTCTTTAATCCGGACTCATTGGGACTTCGGCGATTCCAGATTATCGGTTTTTCTGGATTATAGATCATCAGTTTAAATCTGGTAAGATGGTAAGATCATCAGTTTAAATCTGGTTTCTGTTACAGAAATTATAAAATTAAAAATATGAAACCATAATTTATGAAATAAAGAGCAATTATGATCTAAAGGGTATTAAAATTTACAAAAAAAATGCTTAATATTTATTTGTTCATTTTATTAAACATTTCTTTCAACGCGTGCATGCGTAAAGCACACATTATGCATAGTCGAAATTAGAAAATTGCAACCAGAAAACTATTCAATGTGTATTCGTGATATTTATAATGACGAGGAATTTCATTTAAATCATATTAAAGACAAGAGTACATCGAGATGAAATACTACATTTAGTAAGGAATTATAAGTCAAATAAAATAAAAACATTTGCCCTGAAGATTAGGATAATGCTGACAGATCAATTTCGTTCATTGTGCGACACGACATCCGCCCCCCACCCCGCAGAGCATCGTGAAATTCATAAACAGATTTCAGAATGGTTAGAGAAACAAAGGATATGCCTTTATCCATTTTTTGCAGCAATTCCATTTTTTGTTGGATGGTCATCGAAAGATGCTTTTGCTTTGTAGATGCTTAGGCAGCTCCAGAATCCGAAATTCTTTTTGACATAATCGAAAGTTCAAGCTTACTTTTATAAAATTGCTCTAACATTCTGCAAAAAATAATAAGCCAGATCCAATTCGAAGATTAAGGAACAACGCAATCTGCAACATTAACTGAAATAGATAATTAGATAATTTTAGCTTAGCTTATACCATCCGTTATACATTAAACGCGCATGCGTAAACACATTATGTGCATGCATAAATGCATATGCTCAAAAAGTTTGTTGCTTTCAGGTCCGGATTATAGATCATTGCGGATTATGGACGTCCGGATTAAAGACTTTTGACTGTATTACAACATATTTTGAAATTTGTTAAGCAGTTCTAAGAATTAATGGAGCAATGCGAAAACGGCAAAAATTATAGAAAAAGAACACACAAATTTTTTAACAGAACAGGAAAGACGTACCCTTAAATAATAATTATATATACTGTATGTAATATTTGCTCTGTTTGGCCTACAGATATTTTTAAAAAGTTTCTAAAAAGTTGTTGAGTTATACACAATGTTGAGATATCGGGAGTCGAGTTTGCAGGATTCTACTGTATCACTAAAAATAGAAATATATACAGCATAGATTTTAGCATAGGTCCAATATTTTTTAATACTTTGTATGCCTGTGAAATGGAAATCTCCGACATACACTATCATGAAATCACTTCTGCTTAGGACTAACCACCCTCAATATGTATTGCTTGATCTGTTGTATACAAATGCTGAATATTGGAACTTAAGGCATATTATCAACATCTTCAGTCCTTCTTGATATTACTAAACCTCTGAAGTGCAAATTATTGGTCTAGGTTTTCAGTGGCCAAAAGTTGATGAAGTCAAATTAAACACAATTCAGGTATCTCTGTTCATCTGTAAGTTATAATATAAAATAACAAATCTGATGTAGACACCACAGCACTTCCTTGTACAGCCTATTAAATTATACTCATTTTTTGCTGCATTTCATTTAAACTTATTACCTCAAATTTCATAAGAGATGTATTTCTCATTCAATTAATTCAGTTTTCACTTTGCTGCAAAACAAAATATGTGAAAACATAAAACACCAAATACAGTTAAAAACAGTTAAATAATAATTTTTATAATTAAAATTAGAGTTTCTAAGCACAAACAAGCAATTCAGCCAGCATCCAGGAAGACACATTTTTCAGTGCACAAAACTGAAAGTTCACTTTTGGTCCCACTTGGCAAAAAGACACAGATGTTGGTGCAGAAAATGATTTCATTCACTAACTACTAAGAGTTTCAGATGTGAACACAGGGCGGCTTCATTAGGCTTAGTACTACTTAAACAACTTTTATATTGTTGCTAATTCTAAAACTATTGCATGCAGATTAACTAAAGGCATAAAATTCTTAACTAGAATATTAGAACAATATAATTCAATCATGGATAAAGAAGATTGCAAATAAAAAGGGAGGTGCATATCTACATGTTACAGTAGTCCCATATACAAAATTTCAACGCTCGGAGGCTACTTGTTTTTTGAGTTATGAGAGATACATACATACATACAGATGGCAGAAAAAAGAGCTCTTCTGAATCCATTTCAAATCCCTTTCACAATCCGTTTTGGGAAAAAGAATCCTTTATTCTGTCTGTATGTACAGATGTAATGCAAAAACATCCTTCAAATGGAATCAAAAGTGGTCAAAATGGGTGTTTCTGTTAAAATATGATTATGATAGCCATTTTTTTTTTTTTTTTTTTTTTTTCAATTACAATACTTCTCTTTATTTCATATAAGAAGCCAAAAAGGATGGACAATAGCATCTAGTTAAAAGTCTATAGCAAGAAAACATAGCCCTTTTAAGTCATAATACACACAGCACAAAAGTTCTCTCATCAAATGCCAATCCACAATTTTTCCTAGTTTTATCAGATTGTAATTTTTCTAATTGTACTCATTATGCAAGTGCACAAGTACAAATACGACTTTTCTGCTTGCTCCCTAATCTTCCAACTTTCACAATTTTATGTCAAATGATTACATGTATTGTATTCATCTGTCAAATTCAAAATTGCACAGTATTTTTCCTTTCAGATGTTGATAATGTTTGCAACTTACATTAAATAACAATAGTTTGGGAATCTTATTAAAAAAGTCACGAAAAACACACATTTGCACCAGATAAGTAACTTTTACCTTTCCACCTGTAAAAAATTGCCTAATTTGTGGCAAAGTGGTTGTGCTAATACATAGGGACACCAAAAATATAAACATTTTTTCATACATATTTGGCATTACTTCCAATGTAACATATAATGAATATCAATATTTGTTGCAAAACATTTCAAAACTTTTTGAATGATAATATCATACATTACTATTTTATTTTTAAATTGGAGTATACATTTGTTATTGATGCATGCAAATTTCAGACATTTTCTTTTACATCTAAAATAACATATTTAGAAGTTTCTTAAAAATAATATATATATTAGCCACAATTTTTAAAAATGTAAGTTTTTAAATAATTTTCTTACATACATACTTTATTTTTTCAAAACTTTCAGCATCTAAACTGTATAATTCTTCTACTTGAACTCCTGTCACACCTAAAGAGTGTAAATAAAAGATAATATGAGAAAATGTAAGCAAAAAACGGTACTTTTCTGTTTCCCCGGTGTAAATCTCACCAAGCAGACTTTATTGGCGACAACACACAGTATATACATAAAAAATGTTAACAAATGTAAGTTCTAAGAATTTTTTATTTTGAAGGCATGAACATTTTAATATCGCTTAAAATTTTGTAAAAAGACATTAATTTAAGAATTTACTATGCTTTCATGGTACAACATCCTGATTTGCCGGTTGGTATCACGTGACCCCTTACGTAAACTACACTACAAAAATATAATTCTCTCAATAATTATCTACATTAATATAAGTTAAATCTTAATTTGGAATACAAATTTAAATGCAAGAATTATTTCAATTTGTATGAATAGCTTACTCAGAAATTATGTTAAAACTGCAGTGCTTTACTTCGCTAGTGTATTCTCATTAGAATTGATGAATTTAACCCTTGACTTTGCCTTTTCTATATTTTCGCCTTCGGGTGAGTGGTGTGATTGCGTCCTAATTAATTACCACAAATGGCCTTAGAGTATAAAATTGAACTATATGGGTAAAAATTCTATGTAATTGTATGCCAGTATTGAAAGCAACTATCAATCTGATAAGAAATGGCTGCGACTTGTTTTGAAAATGAGGCATAAAAAATTACTAGCAAGGATATTTCATTTGGTATCGATTGTATCATTTTTGGGGACTTCATCGCTTACGCCGGCAAAATAGAAAAGTACCCAAAAATCATATTGCCTAATATTGTCTATCTATCCTTATCTTTTATGACTTTGTGAATTGGAATTTATGTAGACTTCAAATTGTAAGTCTTAGTTATCTTCATTGGCTTTCTTAATTTTTACTTTATTGAAATACTGGAATTTTAATAGGACTAGTCCCCTTTCATATGCCATATGGAACTCACATGTCGTCTTTTGTAAGATAGGAGGGGAAAAAACGCAGTTACAGATCAGACTTGATCTTGTTGTTGAATAATTGAGAAATATAATTCTGGAATGAATCTCAAATGTTAGTTATGTGAATTAAATCAGCATTCAAAATAAGAACACAAAGAATAACTTTTATTTATATTATTCTTATATTTTGATAAGAGAAAATGGGAAACAGAAGATCAATGGCTGTACACTTAATTTATTTTTACAATTTAGCAACTCATTTTTCAAAAATGATTTAGCAATGTTTTCATATTCCAGAGTATGTACAATTAAATTCTGTATTGTTGCCGATTTAAAAAAAACCTTCACATCAACTGCTTTCACTGCTGTAATGCAACACATTTTACTTATTCTATTTTCCATAGAAATTTATTCTATTCTGGTAGTTTGCAACAATAATTTTTTTATCATTCTACAATAAACAAAAACTCAACTTTTTTTTAGAGAAGGAAGACTTTATCTGCAATCTGGTTAGTCAAGAGTTCACTGTAAATCATACCTATTTTATTTATTACTGTATTTTCATGCAAATTATACAAATTTAGCATTATTTATTACTGTATTTTGCTTCTAAATAACACACACTTTGCATTCAAAGGGAAAGATATGACTGAATTTTCTCATACATACAAGTGCTGGCCATTTAAACTGCTATACCAGGAAGGCAGCATGCAACAAATGTCAAACTTGAATGAAAGGTACTACATGCTGGGCTATGTACATGATTAGCATTCCAGCACATGTGCATAAAACAAGCAGGAGTAATGCCCTTTACATTATATAAATGGGAAGATTACACAGCTTGTTTTTTACTAGGAAATCACATTTGAACATTTGTTATTTGTGCAAAAGTCATGAACAGTCAAAAGTCTTTACTGGACTCGTCGGGACTTCGGCGATTCTGGATTATCGGTTTTTCCGGATTATAGATCATCAGTTTAAATCTGGTAAGATGGCATGCAGAAATTATAAAATTAAAAATATGAAACCATAATTTATGAGATAAAGAGCAATTATAATCTAAAGGGTATCAAAATTTACAAAAAAAAAAAGAAGCTTAATATTTATTTGTTTACTTTATTAAACATTTATTTCAACTTGCACGTGCGTAAAGCATACATTATGCATATTCGAAATTAGAATATTGCAACCAGAAAACTATTTGATGTGTATTTGTGATATTTATAATGACGAGGAATTTGATTTAAATCATATCAAAGATGGAGTACATCAAGATGAAATACTACATTTAGTAAGGAATTATAAGCCAAATAAAATAAAAACATCTGCCCTGAAGATAAGGATAGAGCTGACAGATCAACTTCCAGTTCATTGGGCGCCGCATTTGGCACGTTATGTTTGGCTTTTACAAGAGTAAGAAGACTTGGATTTTTATAAATTTCCTTTGACTTTTTAAGTGAAAATACATCGATGTGTATATTGACAAAGTCAAGGGAATGCCGAATTTGTGTAATTCTCCGATTTTTTTAAAGTGAAAATAGGTTGATGTATACACGGATTGTGTAATTTTTAAAAACACAGCAAACAGTGGGCGATTCTGCACTTTCCTCTATTTTAGATACTTATGCATTTTGCCATCAACTATTTTCAACAATATTGCCAAAATATTCATCTCCAGTAACAGATAAGCATCACTTCATAGCAAAGAATGTTGCCTTTATCAGGGGTTAGGTTTCATAAGGTACTTCACTGTAGTTTTTTTACATTTTTCGGCTGATCTTTGGAATATGGTAACTGGTAGTTTGGCGACATTTTGGAGGCGATAAAGGTTACTACCTAGGACTTTGGTAATAATGTGAGAAGTACTTAGTTCCGATTACGCATTATTTTGTGTGAGGGAAATGAGAGATCATGAGATATGTCATGTGACATTAATGGACGAATTACAGTTCTTTAATCGGAAAGGGGGGGGAAATTTGGAAAACTGTAGTACTATATTATTTTGTATTAAGCTTCATTGTGTGTTGTGTGAAATAGTGGAAGTGTGTGTGCCACGTAATGAATATTCTGAATATTAGGTAAGTTAGTATTTTTAATCATTTGAGGATATTATTTTTATGCATTGTTCTAAATGTAAGGAGTAAATAAATTAATATGACATTATTGGAAAATTGTTATTAGCATGATTTAGTTTAAAGTAATTAGGATTGTAATCTAATTTTATTAATTTAATGTATGTGCTTATTTATATTTTAAGTAGTGTTTTTTAATTTAATTATATTTTAATTTAATGATCGTGATTTTGTGAGTTATATGTTTGTAGTATTTTGGAATACGTTTGAGTATTTTCATGCATTTTCGTGAAATTTTTCTAATTTATGAGAAAAAAGCAGTGTACATGGATATAGTGAAGAGTGTGCGCAATGCCATTTTTGTGCAATTCTGGGATGTTTTTTTAAGTAAAAATAAGTCGACATGTACATGGTTTAGTGATATTTTAATTAAATTATAGTTATTTTGTGAATTTTATCTTTGTAGGAATTCGGTATACGTTTCAGTTGAAGTAAACGTGCATGGAAGTAATTTAAATATTTGACACTAAGTATTTGTAACCATTTGTAATGTTTGCGGTATGAATTCGTTGGTGACGTTTATAATATAATAGATAATTTAGAGGTAAACATTTTTGGATATTTTATTTATTTTATACGTGGAAATGTCCATCCTTGCAAAGGGTATATACTTTTTCGCGATCAGTTAATTTCATATATGTGCTTTTTACCGAGTTTAAAGATTCACAGATTTTTTTTTGCATTTTCGTGCAAATTTTTGTAATTTATGAGAAAATAGCAGTGTAGATGGATAAAGTTAAGAGTGTGTGCAATGCCATTTTTGTGCAATTCTGGGATGTTTTTTTAAGTAAAAATAAGTCGACGTGTAAATGGTTTATGTGTATGTGCTATTCTGAAAAACGCGCAAGGAGTTGCGATTGTGCACTTTTTCCCAATTTTGCAGTTAATATTTGTCATGATTAAGCAGTTTTGTTACATAAAATTTCTAGCATAAGTGTAATTTTGCTAGTAGATTGGTGGAAAAAGTGTTCAGTAAATAAAAAGAAAAGAAACATGTCTTTACTTCAAAGACAAAATGGCGGCCAAAAAAAAAAAAGGGTTGCTGTAGCAGAGTTGGTCGCCAAATTTTCGCCAAGTTACCATAATCCAAAGATCAACCCATTTTTCTTGCATTTTCAAAAAGAAGGTATTAAAATTTGTGACCTGCCTTCTCCATTGCAACAAGCAGCTAAGTAGTTTCAAAATTGCAGAATATGTTGTAATGATGTGTATACTCAAAACATTTAAAGACTGTGAAGTTCATCAAAATGGTGCAATACAAGATATTGCTGAACAGTAGTGTAACAGCAGATTTGTCATAGGTGAATTTATGTGTCATTCTGATGGGATCTCTGCCAACTTTCATATGAAAATACGTAAATAAATTCTAAAAATATAAAATTACATTTACTAATAAGTTGAAGCAATCAAAAATGCATATTATAAATTTAACAAAGTATAAAACTTCCAGATATATGAAAAATATTAAAACTTGATATTTGTAACAATGAGTTTAACTTCAGTTAGGAATACTTGGACGAATTTTGACTGATTAATGGAATCTTACATGAAACCACAGGTCATTAAAAATTATACTTCACTTTTACTTCTTCCACTTTAATAATCATATTTGGCTTTTTAAATTTTAATAGAAGTGAACATACAGTTTCTATGTACATAATACAGGAAGCTATCAATAAAGAAACCCATAATAAACAATTTAAATCAGAATATACTGCTGCTTGTTTTATCTACACTGAATTTTCAATATGTTATGTCGATTACGTGAGTATAAAAATTACCACTTTAGTTGACAGCTTTTTCAATTAATAAATATCACAACATCAAAACATTTTTCTATATAAAAGTGGTAAATGGAAGATTTTCGATACTTTTTTCTGGAGCATATACTTGCAAAGAAAGGATTTCATAATAATTATAACCCACAACATGTCTATTGGATTAAACTGTTGAGTTAGAAATAAGCAATTTATTAGAAATGGCTTACCAAATCCTTTAATAAGTTCTGTAAATACACCTGGATCACTTTCTATCAAACACCATTCACCAGCTGGATTACCTGACATTTTAGAATTAAAAACCACAACAGACACGAATCAATCAAACGGAAAAAAAATGATAGACAACTGTCGAATTTTGCAACAGAAGCAGTCTTTTAGCCTGATACCGGTGAAATTAAAAAATATTTAATATTATTATATTATATCAGTCTACGTATAATTGTAGAACTTATAATCATCATTAGTCTTTATTTTTGATGCAAACAATAGTGCGCATAAAATTAGCAGAGCAACGACCTTGTGTTTGTTAGTCAAGACTCTTGGGGCGAAGTGAACCTGAGAAAATAAAAATTCCACTTCACCGGGTTTAAAATACTACGTTGTTTTTTTTAGGAAAATGAATATGAAAACGTAGTTAGAACAGACTCATATCTTTATTAACATTTTTTTAAACTCAACTGCCAGATAGTAGTATAATCAAAGTAAACAATATAATTTTGCTGCCATTTCAAAAAGGTAAATATAAAACCACATAACTGTATTCATGAAGACGACGAAGAAGATCATATTTTATTCTCGACTGTCAAGATGTAGAAATAGCTTCTTCCTAAGCAATCTGGGGGGGGAGGAGAAAGAAGAACATTGTAGTAGGAGGTGTGGGAGGGGGTGAGAAGAGAATCTTGCCCCCGCTAAAGCGGCGGCGAATGGGGGTGAGGCAATACCGACTCTACTAGTAGAGTCACAGCGATCCTTACGCAAAGTGCATTTGTTAGTTCAGCAATACAACAGCTACAACACCACATCCACTCGCTAGAGACTTGGCTGACCAAATGGAAAGTCAAAGTGAATGTCGACAAGACACATGCCATACTGTTTACTACTAAGAAGAATTTCCCGACTCACCTGCAAATGTATGGTGTGGACATTCCCTGGGTCAAGCAGGTCCCTTATCTTGGGGTGATCCTCAGTAAATCTCTTACATGGAACCCACACGTTACACATATTCTCAGGAAGTTTCGAGCTAGTAAAGTTTCACTCTTCCCCTTAATTGCTCGAAACAGTGTTCTATCTATTGATAATAAGTTGCTCATTTACAAAACCATGTTGAGTCTAATTCTTAGTTATGCATCCCCCATCTAGGCATACTCGTGCAAAAGTTTGAGAAGGCAGTTACAAGCTGCCCAAAACGGGGTATTGCGTATGATATGTAATGCCCCCTGGTACATTTGGAATAGCCAAATTCGTAAAGAGTTAAGAATAGAGGATCTTTGTGATTTTTATTGCCGCCTATCTAGGGCATTTCATGATAAACAGGAACTTCTGGACAATCCTGTGGTTGTTAACTATTGTTATGACACTAGGGACCTCAATTTCAGTAAACGCCCAAGGGCGATCCTAAATCTTAGTAGTATGTAATTTTGTATATGTGTTATGAAAATTGTTGCTCAGATTCTTTATTGTATATTGTTCTTTTTTCCTCCTGATTGCATTTTGTTTTTACTAGTGGCACTAAGGCGTCGCACTTCGTATTTTGTTTCTCTTGTGTGTACATGTATTCTTCTGTGAAATAGTTGTTAAAAATAATTAATTATGTATGAATTAGTAATTAGGTACTTAAGGAAAAAATATGTATTTAACTATTAGCAATTATGTATTTAAACTCTTACTCATTTAATTTAGCACATTCAGTTACATTTCTCATAATTCAAAACTTTTATCATGTAATTCGATGAGAGGTAGGGCTATGGCGCCCAGGCACCCTGGTGGTTAAGCACCGCAGTTCAATGTATGTACTATTAGAGTCGGTGTTGGGTGAGGTCAGTGACGTTACAAGATGGAGCAGCAGGTGTAAACCGAAAAGTCAATTAAGCGTGAATGAGCCAATTTTTGTTGTCATTTTTATGTGAGCAGGATGTCACAGGGATATCGATGTTTTTCCCTAGGGTGCGGAGTGTTGGAGACGGCTGCTGCAGACAGACGATTACGTAACGGCTTGGCGAAGGTCGAAAGACGGAGCTCCGCATCTGATTGGACTATTTTTTATTATTATTATTTTTTTTCTTTAACTGCGAACTAAGCGGGGAAATTCCCTTTTCACTCAGTTATATGTAAGCACTAGTTAGAGTAATGTAACGTTTTCAGCTTGTGTGAGATATCCATATTAAATCTTTATATTAATAATCCCTGCTGTGATTATTTAATTTGTAACCTGCACGTTGTAGCCCTGAGAGTTGCAACATAGTAAATTTGGCGTCCGCTACTTTATATTTTTGGATGAAATATGGATATAAAAGTTTTGAAAGCAAAACGAAAGTTGCTGAGAACAGCGTTTACGGTATGCTGCAACGATATAGCTCAGAAGATCGAAAACAAAAGTTTAATAAGTGACGAAGTCAGTAGGTTGTTTCGGCAGATTCAAGACAAATTCACACGTTTGGAAACAACTCAAGAAGAAGTTTCAAATTTGTTGCTAAGTGATGATGCCCTTCAAGATGAATATTCCGAAGAATACCGTGAATTTGAAAGTAGAAGAATACCGTGACAAGTTCTGCTTGATCTGTTCGCTGTTACAAAATGAGAAGAAGGCAAATTCGGTTACGGAAGGAACAACAACCGAGCAAAAAAGGAAATTCAAGCTTCCGAAACTTGAATTGAGGAAATTTAGTGGAGAACCGAAAGACTATCTTCTTGCTTTTTGGTCCCAGTTTGAAAAAATTCACAACGACCTCTCCATTGTGGATGAAGACAAATTTCAATATCTTTTACAATGTGTGGTAGCAGATTCTAAAGCGTCAAGACTGGTAACAAGTTTTCCGCCAACTAAAGAAAACTATTCAAAGGTGATTGCACAACTTAAAGAACGCTTCGGGAGAGATGAACTTTTGGTTCAGATTTATGTACGGGATCTACTTTCCATAGTAATGAAAAATGCTGCTGGTCGGATTAAAGTAGATTTAGCTGAACTTTATGATTTACTTGAGAGCAAGCTTATGGCACTCGAAAGCCTCGGTAGAACTAAGGAAAAATTTGCAGAATTTTTAGAGCCACTTGTTGAGTCCTGTTTACCAGAGACTGTTCTTCGTGCATGGGAAAGAAGCCGCTCGATGGAAGATACTGCGTGACAGCAAGATAGTGCGCGTTCGTTTGGAATAAACTTTTGTGCTTTCTTCTTCGAAATGAAGTGCAAAGTGAGGAAATGATTAAGCTCGCTCGTACCGGGTTGGGAGCTTCACGTTCTGCACATTCGCGTCCACATTGTGATGATCCGGGTTGCTCTACAGCTGCTGCCTTGGTAAATGTTCAAGACAATACAGGTAGGCGAAATTTACGTTGTATTTTTTGTGAGAAATCCCACAATTCTGCTGAATGTTTTTCTGCTCGCAAAATGTCTTTAGAAGACAAACGAAAGCTTTTGGTGCAAAAGGCGAGCCTGTTTTCGCTGCCTACGAGTTGGACATAGTTCACGGGCATGCAAAAATGTTTGCATGCCCGTGAACTATGTGCCCGTGAAAAAAAGTAAAATGTTTAACATGTGATAAATTTCACTATACCATTATGTGCTCAAATGGCGAACCTGTGAAACCAAATGAAACTGACAGTACTGTTATTTCAAGTAATGCATTGTCTAATCAGTCAACTGTTAATGAAAATGTGTATTTGCAAACACTTGTTTTAAAAATAGTATTGAGGGTAGACAACTTACAGTTCGTACGATTTTGGACAGTGGTTCTCAGAAATCTTATCTTTCAGAAAGGGTTATCGCGTTTTTGCAACTGCGTCCTAAATCGAAACAAACCATTATACACGGTTTGTTTGGGGGGAGAGAGACAAGTCCTCATTCCCATTTAGTGTTTGATGTTAATTTAAGAAATTTTGAGGGCACTTATGACCATAACTTTGAAGTACTTTCTCAAAACAAAATATGTGGATGTGTTCCAAAAGTAGTTGATCCCAATACCCTAAAAGAATTAAAAGAAAGAAATATTACCTTGTCTGATTTGCAAGCTAAAGAATATGACATTGAGTTGCTTTTAGGAGCAGATGCCATTGGGGACATTATTACTGGCAGTTCTCTGAAACTGAACTCTGGTGTAACTGTAGTTGAGACTAAATTCGGATACACTGTGATTGGTAAAGTAAACAGCTTATCTAAAGAACCTACTTCAGCTACTATTCCAGCATTACTACAAAATAATTTGTGCAATAATGTAGTTTCGTTGCATTGTGCTAATCTTAGCGTAACCGAACTCTGGAATTTAGATGCCATTGGCATAACAGATCCCAACTGAAGATGTTAAACGTAAACTTGCTCACTCTGACACCGTTAAGCAATTTAAAGAGAATTTAAATGTTCTTCCTGATGGCCGATATGAATTGCCACTACCCTTTAAATCTGAAATTCTGTTACCTAACAATAAGTCTATGACTTTTAAAAGGCATCAAAGAATGTGTCAACGAATTAATGAGGAAAATCAGTTAGATGACTATAAGGTAGTTTTTAAGCAATGGGAAGACCTAAAATAATAGAAAAGGTTCCTGAAACTGAAATTGATAATTTGAGTTATTATTTGCCCCATAGACCTGTTATAAAGCACACTAGCCAGACAATGAAGGTATGGCCGGTGTTCGACGCTTCAGCCCGAGAGAGAAATCAACCATTCCTAAATGATTGTTTAAATAGAGGGCCGAACTTAATTGAATTCATACCTGATATAATTGACAGGTTTAGATTGTATTCCGTTGGTTTATCATCAGACATAGAAAAAGCATTTCTTCAGCTGAGTATTATCCCAGAACACAGAGATTATTTGAGGTTTTTTCTTCCAACTCTTGAAGAACCTATGATTTACAGACACTGCAGAGTGGTGTTCGGCGTTTGTTCGTCTCCGTTCCAACTCTCTGCATCGATAGAGCATCTCTTGGATAATTCCCCTGCCGAGTTTGACGATGTGACCCAAAAATTAAAGCATTCGTTTTATGTTGACAATTGTGTCACTGGGGTTCACGATATCAAACAGCAAGAAAATTTTATAGTTAAGGCTACAGAAGTAATGGCTCGGGGATGTTTTAACCTACGGGGTTGGGAAAGTAATGTTCCAGGTCATTGTATTTCCCGTAGTTCAGGTATAACTTCTCTTCTTGG